AAACACACATTGTGTATTCACGAAAAGATTCATTTAATATAATAATCTATTCGATGATTTTATTTGTTAAAACGCATAATAATAATATTTTGTAAGGTTCCTATTTGTACGAGGAGTTATTAGAAAAACAAAAAAAAAAAGTTTTGCAAATTTTACAAATTTTTATTATTTATATTATGTGTATTTATGTGTTAAAATTGATTAGTAAACGATGAGTTTACGATATTGGGTTCTAGATAAAAATTGAAATTTTGTAATTATTAATACATTTTTATTATATTTCATAAATTATTTGATAAAATATGCAAATCTGAAATAAATGAGATGTATTAATATTATTTATAAAATTCTTTTTTGCCAGAAAAACATATTAAAAATACAAAACATTTTTAATCATAATTGAATAAATTTATTTTTGTGTTTATTAAAAATAATATGATAATTTAAATACGTTTCAAAAACAAAAATAAAAAAATATTTAGGTTATAGCTGAATAATTTAGATGTTAAATTTTCGTTTAACCCTTTATTTTATTAATTCATTTTTCCGTTGCTCAATATTATATATATATTTTTTTATCGCTAATTAACATTTTCTATTACCTTTGTTCTAATATTATTATTATTTATTATATCGATTTTTAATATTACATTTATATAAATAATAATATAACGATTATTTTGGTATAGACCATCTTAAACAAAATTAGAAAAAATGTTTAATATCCTAACCATTTGGATGATTTGCGAAACATTTAGACAATCTGTTACAAAAATATCATGTTGTATGCATCGATTTATTTGGAGTACAGTGTCCGTTTGAGAGTTATTAACTATACAAGTATTAACGTTCTATAGCTGCAGTTACAAAATCGCTTAGCACTTAGACGAAATGTATATTTTTATTCTCGATCGACTTTAAAAACTAAACTAAATCTAACTACTGATCAAATACTCGTCAAGAGTGATATCCACTTTTTACGCTCGTCAAATCACTTGTTCTAACATATTATAATAATATCATAAGCGCCAAATTGTTATTATGTACATAGTCCGGATGACGAAATTCTTGGCGTTGCGGGGGATTTGTATAGAATATTTTCCGACAAATCATTAGTTTTCTATTCCAATACAGATATTCGTTCATTTTCAATAACAATACCTACAGTGCGTAACTGTCATAAAGAATGCGACTGTTTGTAGAACATAATGTTGTATTAAAGTAGCGCTACGGTGTCGAAGACGAGCAAAAATGTAATTAACGCCGTTGCGCAGTCATAATACGTTTGTGTCGTAAGCTGTAAACGCGCGCTAAAAACGGACGGGCTTACAAACGTAGCGACGACGCGAACAGTAATAATTATAATTATTGCTGGTCACTGCGTGTTTTTTATGCAGAACACCTACTGCGGTGGATAGTCAATTAGAGCCGTACATAATTTATTAATTATTACCAATCCGCATAGTTAACGCACGAGGATGCCATATTTTAGTAATAATAATTGCCGCGCAAAAAACACAATTGATTAATTTTATTACGTTCGTGCGAAATAAACAGAAACGTTTCTATAAAATAATTATTCGACTTTAATTGACAAGATTCAATGTAACCGTTCTCGTTATAGTTCTTCATCGGTTTTCGCGAAAAATACAATGGGGAGAAAAAAGCACGTCGGAATCGAACTCGTGTGCACGTATATTTTTTCTGCTATTGTATAGAATCGAGTTTTTAAAAACGATTCCCTGAACAGTATTTTTAATTTATAAAAGGGTTGTTTGTTCCGCGAGACGGCCGTATTAGCGCACACTCGGAATCAGAAAATCCGGCGGAAAGTGTTGAATACATTTTTTCGCTTTCTCTCCCCCTTACAGTCTTACCCACTCCCGTTTGAAAGTCGTCTGGGTCTGTGGATTTCGTGTTCAAATTAGACCGCATGGCGATGCATTAAATGGTGCATACAAATCTGCTATTAATATTCCGTGTGCGAAAACGAAACAAACGTTCCATAATCGAGTACAAGACTTTTCGTTTAAAATTATTAAAGTACCGCCCAAAGCCTGGGCGATTATTAGAAGTACACCGCACACTGTAACTTTGTCGCTGTCAATTGTTCGCAAAAACGCGTGTACACGGTAGACAGCACGGGACGTTAAGAGGTACCCGTGCATATGAAGATATTACGCGAACACCCCGTGGTATCGGAAAAGGTAAAACAATCGTTGTAATAATAATACCCATAAGTGATTAACAAATACGTCGGATAGCACTTTCTCCATCGTAAACATTTCTTTCTCGTATTAATGTTCTATCCAAGGGGGGTACGCTTGTACTTGTGTGATATTTGGATATAAAGTGCGAATTGTAAATGTTCGTCGAAACACCGCGAGTATGTAGCACTATAAATGTTACATCAAACAATGTCTTACAAGTTTTCGGGTTCAACATACACCCTAATAAAAGTACTGTATGCGTTTCATCGAAACCTATTACTTTTAAATGATTTTAAACAGCGTAATATAGGTTTTTTTTTTTTCTTAACTCTACGGTTTCACTTTTCTGTAATTTTCTAAATATTTCACGGAATAATGAAAAGTGTAAATAATATTTTTATAACTCTAGCGTATACTACTACTAATAAGTAAGGTTCGGATTTATATGTATTAAAAAAAAATCAAAATATGTTAATATATATGTAATAACAAATTGATTTATATGTTATAAGAAAATGGAATATAAAAAAATTACAAAAAAATGAATATAAAAAAATTAAGACTCTTGAATTGAAATTATTATGAAATTAAACTTTATATCTTAATAATCTTCATATTGATAGCAATGAAATGCCATATACATTCTCAAATTGTCAAAGTTAAATGGTCTACGGTTTGTACCGATAAAAGGAGTGCTCGAATTCAACAGAGGTAATGGGTGAAAATTTAAAATTTCCAATGTCCAAGAGAGTGAGATCATTCTGCAATATTACCCCATTCATTCCGTAATGTATATCTTAAATTAATTTTTGGCGGTTTAATCAGAATTTTTGTTTAATACAATGTACATTTTTTCTTTTATTGCGATTTCCAATGGTCTTTGTACTTGTTCTATACATTGTACAGCTTCTTCTACGAATCCTAAACTTTGAACTAAAGTTATTTTCTAGTTGAACATATTGAAACATCAAAATATCGAACATACTTGTATATCGACCGTAGATTAAATTTAATAATTGGTATTATTTTGTTTACGTACTTTTGGAAACATGGGAAATAGTCTGCACCTATTTAATTATTAATGAATCGTAAATGGATAAATAGTCAAAATATGTAAGAAAAATAGAATAATCAAGAAATATGTAAAAATATGTACTTATGGTAAAATATGTAAAAATATTTAAAATAAAATATAGTTAATTTCATTGGAAATCGCTTAAAACAAATTTGACGCTCATCTAAATTAATTTATCAAGTCACAGTAAAAATATGTATTTACATATAAATCCTATTTGTACTATTTGTTTTTCATTTTCCTTTCTGGCCACTCAAATGTAATTTGTATATACATATCATCCCGAATGGGTTTCATCCGATTCATATTTTTACTGTCAACTTCATAAATATTTTAAAAATCTATAATCCATTGGTTTAGTTTTACGTTTTTCTAACGACACGCGTTGTTTTATTCGTTTTATCTATAAAACCGCGATGAACTAGATATCGTGCAGATCTTATAATTCTACTTAAACTTATACAATGAATTATGATTAGTTAACCGAACCTGTGTTTTATAATATTTATACGGAATTATATTAATATTATTATGAATGTGTTTCCATGAGCTTCCAATTGGACTAGGGGCGATTAGCGTGGACGGTGGTGAACCGTCATCTTCGAATTGATATTGTACGATAGATATGTAGATAGGTTTTTTCGTCAAATTGAAGAATATATGTTTATTTTTTTTTTTCCATAAATAAATTTGTATACATATATACGCACGGCCTCGCGGTATTCTTTGAACTCCCTGACCTCATTGGTATTGCCCCGTTCAAATTCAAATGTCAATAGTACGAGTAATTCTCCGATCGCGTGAAAAGACAACATTTTGTACGGGCGTGGTACCTATTAAATTTGTTGGTTTGATTTTTTTTTGGTAAATTTTTCAACTCTGACATTTTATGGAAAGCTGTAAAAATTGAAACAGTCATGACTCCATTGGGTTCGATTCAAACGAGAAGCTACCGCGAAGCCTTGGGGTGAACGCGAAAAATAACCAATAAATATGACATGATGATGGGGTTAGATGATAACGAGGAGGTTGACCTCAGAGTCCAATTATAGTTTACGTTTAAAAATAAACACGATGGATGCTTAGCGATTCGATGGGGTTCGCGGAGAATATAACTCTTTGATCAATGTTTTAAACGCTTCGGTGAAGTCCGCATAGTCTTTAATCCTCTCCAAACAGTGTTATTAATCGTGTTCGCACATTCGCAGAGCGTTCCGGAAATGTCTAAAACAATAACGGCATAATTAATATTCGTGTAATAAACATCGCACTGACCGTTTTGTATGTAGTCGTGTGTGAACATTACCCACTAAACTATTTATGTATTACAACGAGTTTCAAATGATAAAATACCGTTGTACTCAAAAACACCCTTTTTCGTTATGTGTTTTGAATGGAATATTATGACGTCGTACACCTATTCTGTTGATTTAAAAAAAAAAAAGAAAAAGGCGCTTGCGTGATTAAGTCTTCGTTCTAGATAGAATGCACCTACTCAATTGGACACAATACTATGCGTAACCATTAATATGACTATTCATATTTTTCCCCGTTATAGCACTGTATAAAACCGAAGTAGGAACATTATTTAAACATTTTGACACTGTATTTGCACGTGATAAATAACAGTTTATTTTTAAATACGAAAAAATCAATGTTTTTGTAAACTATACGCGTCCTAACTGTTTCTTATTTTTCTTTTGTTCTTTTTACAGTTAATTTTCAGTGGAGAATATACCAAAGCGATGAACAAGGACTGGCATTCCGGTCATTTCTGTTGCTGGCAATGTGACGAATCGCTAACGGGACAGAGATACGTACTGAGGGACGAACATCCTTACTGCATAAAATGCTACGAATCGGTGTTCGCGAACCCATGCGACGAATGCGACAAGGTCATCGGAATCGACTCTAAAGTACGTTTTCGCCCGGGCCGTCGTCAATCAACTTGTTCATTACGCATGTCTAGTATTATATCTCGTAAACGATGATCAGATAGTGATCGTTCATTGTTTACCCACTGCGTTGTACCTTTTTTTCACATTGTTTTTCTCCCCGTAGGATCTGTCGTACAAGGACAAACACTGGCACGAAGCTTGTTTCTTGTGCAACAAATGTCGCGTCTCGTTGGTGGACAAGCAGTTCGGATCGAAAGTGGAGAAAATCTATTGCGGAAATTGCTATGACACTCAATTCGCTGCTAGGTGTGACGGATGCGGAGACATCTTCCGCGCAGGTAATAATATTCGTGTGCCTTATGGAAGGACGTTAGCCGCGAAAATTCGAACAGCGCATAGGCATCTATAACGTAATTATGATGTTTATACGGAACGACGCGTTAACATATTCCGTCTTACGTCTGTAATGAATTAAACACGATATTGTCGTATCATGATGCAGGATGTTGTTCTCTAACGAACGCTCGATTTTGGTTGAAAGTTATTGCGATGATGGTCCATTGGGTTTTAGGCACCGAATCTTTCATAAATCTGATTACTCACGTTACAATTGTTGATGGTTTAGTTATTATTTTTAATCACTGTCAACAATTGGACCGGGAGCGTCATCTACAGAAAAACGCGTTCTGGTATTGTTAAGACGATTTTTAAGAATAATGAGTTTCACGCGGAGACCGATAGAATACTTGAAAAAAAAATGCACCTAGTCGGTCGACACGTCGAAGGCGTGATAACAATATTTAAAGCACTTCAATCATTTCATCATCACAAACAGTTAAACGGTAGTTCGTATGCGAACAAATTATCATATCGTAGAAAGTAGCCCATTTGCTGATTTCGATAATTTTGTACACGAACGCAGTTGTTCACTTAGGATTTACTCGTTGTACTCGTTTAATGATTGCGAATGATCGAAACTCAAGTAAATCAAATTTGTTTTAACGAGTTAAAATGTGAATAGCAATGTAGAAATGATCGAGTATTTCTTATGAGACACTGCACTGTACATAATTCAGATTTTCATCCATCTAGATATGATAAAATTGAAACTAAAACTAGTAAGGGTGTCGATGAAATGCATTGTTGATCCGTTATTAAACATATTCTTCTTCGTTTACCAAGTAATTTGTGTAATGCTTATTATTTTCATTACCATTTGTACGTTGTACGGTGTTTATTTTACCGTTAATGTATGTTAAACATTGCGATGAAATACATAAACAACTACCGTGTAGACCGTGTTGTCTGCTTTCTCCGCGTTAATCTTAAAACGATCGTGTACGAACCGGTGGTAAAACATACAACGGTTGCTGCAGCGAGGGGTTGGGTAGGGGGCGGGTCGACACGTCACTGGTCTTAAACGCGTAGCCGCTAACGTTGAAAAGTGTGAAACGAAAAATATCCAGCGGTCAACAAACGGAATGATCGCAGGTCGTTCACGTATGGGATTACACTACGATCGGGTGCCCGTGCGCCAGAAGGAATGTGCACCGATCGAAACGGAGTCCTTTAACAACGCTCGTACACCTGTACAGGAACAGTTGGTGACATCATCGCCGCACCGCCCGTCGTCGTGTGCCTTTATTTTCTCGACGTGAATTCGCGCGCGTCCAAGGACGTGAAAACGATAACTCGGCCGCGCGGTGTTTTCGACGCGTTCTCGCACCGTCGCCGATTGTCACCCGTCGTAACCTGCACGGACCATCGGGTGTTCGACCGAAATTACCACCGAAAGACGTTTTAACGTTTTTAACACACGAGCCGTGTAGTACCGTGCACGCGATTTGTAGCTGCTCTTTATTTCGCGACGATTTTCGACACGGGCCGGTACGAGAATGTTCTTGCGGAAATTATTGCCGAATCGTTTATGGGTTTTTGATCGGTTCCACTCGACCCCGCCCCGGAACCTCGCCGGGAATCGGCTCGAGAACAGTGTACACGTACGCGTCATCACGGTAACTCGACGACGACCGGAGGTGTGGACCGTGGGCAGGACGGTAAGGTCGCTCGGTCTCCCCGGGGCTGAGAGTGGGGACACCGGCGGCGTACACTTTATATACGTGCCCGAACGCGACGTCGTCGTCGTAGTTGTCGTCGTCGTCGTCGTCGTCATCCGTCTCACGCTTTCGGTGGTGTTCAGTACTAGTGCAAACATGTCCGTGGACGTAATGACCAGCAAGTTCGGTAACATCACGCTGAAGACCAGCACGCCGAAAAGGGACCACGCGGACGAGGATGATGTAGCTATCCTGTCGTCCTTCCTGCCAGAATACCTAATGAGCCCCGCGGCCGTGTCCAAGAACAAGGCGTTCGAGTGCTCGTTGAAACGAGACTGCAGGCTAGGAGACTCGAAAGCCACCCCTCCAGGTAGAACTACAGCTATACGTACACGTATAGCTTTCTTGCGCGGTCTGACGAGACAATTGTACTGTCTCTCTCAGGGGTGCTCCCGAATGTTATACAAACCATATACATCATGATACTCGCTTGCCGACAGCTCGAGAGCGTTCACTACGTATTCTAAAAACCTAATAAAACTTTATATTACACTCGATCAACGACAGAATAACATAATCCATGGCGATGGTGGCTGACGTGAGTGAGCTTTAAGAGGAAAAATAGTTACTGAAATGCGATTCGAAACGTTTTGTGCATCACGCATTTGTCATTGATCGATCTATCATCACGAACACTTACGTTACCGTTCTAAACAAATAACACTGTTGGCATAATGAATATGTTAATTTAATTCTTATTAGATATTATTTTTCGGACTCAAAGGTGGCAAATTAAAATTTTAATACTAACTTATTATATTATAGTTTGCTAAATATACATATTGCGTTAGGGTTCGTTAGGTACGTTTGGAAACCAGAATGCAGACATGAAATCGTCAATATATTATCCGTTTTGTGTAATAAACATTAGTTCTTCGTAGACTGTAACGTGTATAAGTGTTAAAACAGTACCGCAAAATAACTTTTAGTTATCAATGTAATGTTATGTATACACATATGCGCATGGTACAATACACACGACTTTTTATTTGAAATACGAATTTAATTGTTATAAAGTTAAAAAGGATGAAGGATATTGTTATTTCATCTCATCATACGTTATTCATTAGTATCCGTCTAGTCACGACCACAGTTTTTGTAGCTATTTTTTATAAAAATTCAAGGCCTAAAAACGTATTTCAATTATAAACTGAATGACTTTATTAGTAAAATATCATACAGACGTTATTTTCTTAAAATCGTTTCATATTAATTTTGATCATCTGATGTCATAATGTTAGTATCGGTTTCATCGCGATCGTATCACATAATAGATGAAATATATTCCGTGGTCGTATCGCGACCGCGGCGGAACAACAATGTATCGTTGATATTGATCATTTAAAAAAACCAAAACGATTTCCTAACGAAAATCTCACGATCGGTCTAACAAGAAGTTAGAAAACATACAACGAGTACCTATAAGACGTATGCAATTAACTAAAACCTACGTAAGTAAGAAAATCAGTTTAACAAAAAAATAGCCTTTATTTCCAAACCTATTCATTGCATCATCAAAAGACTGCACAAAATTTCAAATTTACTGTAACTTATGAGGTCATTGGGGTAATTCCGTAACTAGTTATTATTTAATTCATATTAAATAGTATGCAGGTCATCAATTCGTTTGGTAAATTGAACAAACTAAACTGTTAATTAGATAATTTCATGTCTGAAGAATATTAAAGAGGAAAAAAACTTGTATCATTGCTATGATTAAAGATAAAATGTTCACAACACTATCGTTTATAATTGTGTAATATTACTGCAGTCGCACTTAATTCGTCATATTTTAATGCTAATAGTATGTTTTTTTATGACTTGGCAAACACTAATCGTATAATAATATTTGTTAGCTTTGAACACGTTTAAGACTTGCGAGCCAACATTTTTGTATCGAACTGTAACATTTGTCTTGTATAAATTATAACTATAGTACAACTACAATATTTAAATAATGCAAGTCAGTTGGTATACAGACTGAACTCGAGATTCGGACGTAAACATGTTGTAATATGTTTCTAATCGTTTATATACATCCTTCTATACCACATTTATCAAAACAAAAATGCATTAGAGCACGATCATATTATTTACTAAAGATTTCTATTTAATCTACCGCAGTGTTTACGTTACGCAACGTATCTAATACATATTTAGATATTTTTAATTCCCAGTTATTAATCGTTGATTTATTTGTTCATTTAATTAGATTTACTATTAAGAATACTGGACTTCTTCGAAACGACTTGACTGAGTGGATACTCAGGGTTATTGAAATACGAGTAAAAGTAAAAAGTAAAATAGCTAAAAAAAAAATCGATTTCAATGAGAAACAATTTGTGAATATTATACTATGAATAATTATACGAAAAAAGTATACAATAATTACAAATAAAAATAAATGACAATTTTCGGTTAATAATTATAAGTAGAAATAATTGTTAACATGAAAATGTGGTACAACGAATCAATGTTAAGGCGACAAAGAATCGGGAAAAATATTTTTTAAATACATGCATAACGAAATATTTAGTTAACGTTTCAGTATTTTAAGTTCATTAATTATGTTCCTATAAGTTCGTATTGTTTAAGAGTAACCGTTTTCTGTACTAAAAAATTGTTTAACACATTCGGTGTTAACGTGATGCATTATTACATTTATTTACTTGTTGACATTAATACGCACATGAGTATCATATATTTCCGCATAAGAATTGTATCATTACGGTACATGTGTATTAAAATAAGTAGTACGTTTCTTTTGTAAATTTCGTAGTACGGCCGCAGACGTGTTGATCGTTGTTGTTGTGTTTACGGTAAAGGTGCAAGTTTCGCGGGGACCGTTTTGCTCGAGTGTGAAACGCAGATTAACTCTCGATATCATGAACCTAATCTCTTTTGACACTTGCATTTTCTACTTTTTTTTTTTTTTTCGATACCTATCGCGGAAACCTTGGCGCGCAGATTTGCAATATCCTAGGCCAACGGCGAGCCAGTGCTCCCGTGGGCGTAATTTGCGACCTTACTATTGTCTGCAGGCCGCGTTACATATCCGTCGACAAAACGAAACAATCGACCACCATCGTTATTATTATTGTTATTATTATATCTTATCCGGGGCACAAAACACAATTAACCGATTCGTCGGTACGCGCAATCGCGTGTATGCCGTTTAACACTCGCCAAACTTTATTTGTTTTTTTTTTTTTTTTCCAAACAACCTCGTTTCACGTCTTACTATTCTTTTATAATATACCTATGGTTCTAAGGTTGGGATGGTCCGCGAAATTGGATCCTGCGCGTGTATACCTGTAAAAGGAAACAACAGGTGTTTGTTTATTCGAGCTCACTGCTGTACATTGTACGATAATAATTGATCGGTTTATGTTGTTATACTCTGCGACCGTTATATTATATAACTCTCTCTCTCTCTCTCTCTCACTCTCTTTATGTGCGTGTGTGTTTCTCCTTCCCGCTGAAGCTGTGCACTGATGTACGAAAAGGCTCGTAAAGAACAAAATAAATAACTTTGCCATGTATGTACAACAATCGGTCACCGACGACCTTCCGTGAATCACAATATTACACGACAGCACACGCCCCGACGATGAATCGTTTCGGACGAATGACTAGCGGCGCGATGTTCTCTGCCGAATCATGTAGTAGGGGGACGGCCGAGGTGTGGATCGAGTGCTAATAACTATTGATTATACACGTCTCAGCACGTATTGTTCATTTAAACGATTTTCGTTTACGGTCGGGTTCAGGACGTAGAGAAAGGCGGCGGCGAGCAGCGAGGAAAGACGGATGGAATCATTGTGAACGTGTTACCGAACACGTGGAGTGCGTATGACGAATCGAATACACACACACACACACACACACACACACACACATGTCGGTGCTAGACGTACATGGACACGTCTTGTGGTATTATTATGATTATACAATCGCGAAAAATCGTCTACTGGCGAAGTTGTCGTGAGGAATAAATAATAATAATAAAAAAAAAAAAAAAAAAATGCATTCATCTCTTCGGCAGTGGGACGTGGAACACGCTATTTATTTCGATACGCGATGGCTCGTGGGAGCGAAGGACCCGTGGAATGAAAAATGTCGACTGTGCGAATTGAGTCTGCGCTCTATAGTCGGTAGAAAACCTAACGTCGCGTGGGCTATCATGAATTCACGAACGGCTTCAGCGGTCGCGGCGACCGAAACCGCAGTGGGCGACTATCGAACAACAATATTATCGTTATCGACAGCGACTCTGGATGGATTTTTTTTTTCTGCCAACCGGTTGTCAAGAACACCTGTCACCTTTAGTCAAATACTGATCACATCCGCGATCTTTGTAAGAGATTTTCTCGGGGCGGCGGTGGGGGCGGGAAACCCCCTCCCCCCCCCCCCCCGGCGTTCAGTTCACGTGTAAAAATACATTTAATCGGGAATCTTTCACCACGATTAGGGAAAATCAATGCTCGTCTCGGAAACGCGTCGCGTTTAACTTACCGAATAATGCCGACTCGTCCGCGACTTACGATCGGTTCGTATACAACCGTTCGATTGCAGTGCTGATGCGGACATGACTTTTTGTACTTTCTACCTAATCAATACATTGATCGACGTTTTTATCTTTTATGATTTTTCGCAACCTCTTGCGGAAAACCGAAACTTTCGCAACATAGTTAATCGACTGTATAACATCACGGCGTACGACACGTATCACGTACCCCGGCTGTACGGTGTATCAGCCGCTTGTGACATGTTTCGGCGTTCTCGTACCACGTTGTAATGGCACAACACAAATCATATGGCGTTTATAGGCTGTTGTGTTGTGAAAACTGGAAAAAGTGCGCGTTAACGAAATCGATTTGCGACGGAATTCCCGATTGGTTCCACTGTTAAAAAAAAAAGAAAAAAAAAAGTTAACAATAATAATATTATTTTGATTGTTATTTTTTCCCTTCAGGAACGAAGAAAATGGAATACAAGACCAGACAATGGCACGAGAAATGTTTCAGCTGCGTTGTGTGCAAGACGGCCATAGGTACCAAAAGCTTCATACCCCGGGAACAGGATGTCTACTGCGCTACTTGTTACGAGGAAAAGTTCTCGACTCGTTGCGTTAAATGTAACAAGGTACGTTGGCAGAGTTGTCGCAACGGCGTTAGTGTGTCACGATCGAAAATGGAAATAAAACTTTTAAAACACTACATATATCCGTTAAACATAATTTAATAATTAAGACTCTGTGTTGAATTCAATACAATTATAACAACAAATTTTTAATTTTAAGGATCTAAAAAATTTCTAATGATCTAATCGATGCTTTCAAAGGTGATTTATCTACAGTTATAACCATTTTCTTTTTTTTTTTTATCATATGAATATTATACATTAGTACTAACAAATATTTGCAGAAAATAATTATAAAAAAAATATTCAAATACTGATGTAATCAATATAAACTATATCGTGGGAACGTGCCCAGGGCCCCTATCTAACTGGAGACACCGAATAATAAAAAATTTAAAATTCCAAGCTCGAACATATTATTACGATTTTTTATAGAAAAAAATTCTAAACTTTAGAGAAAAAAACAGGTAAATGACGATGTTAAATAAATAATGAAAGCTAAATTGTGCGCAATTGCATTAAGTATATTTTATTTCTTATTCCGTTATTCAAACAAGGTTTCTTAAAAATGAATAACCCATATCGCTTGGCGATATAATATCGTTCTATACCTACCCGTATTATCAGGATATTTATAAAATTATTTTATTTGCTGTATTTATGCGCAATGACGTGGATACTGGGTTACCTATTCTAACTTAATTATGTCAGAGCAGTGAATTTAATGGGAATTCGATTTTAAACAGTTTCTTTAAATACCCAATAAAACTGACAGTCAGTACTAATATGCCGTGTGTCCGAGTTATTTTAGTCTACTTAACTATATTTAAAATATAAAATTTAATATTTTAATACTATTAACAATAATTTACATAATATAATATTTTATTAGTGTCTGTAATAGACTAGCAGTCTCATTTAATTATGTAAAAAAAGACTAATTTCTCATACAAAATAAAGCTATTGGTGGTTTTAATCAACTTCTTTTGGCTCCTAAGTTCCGGGTGCCTATGGGCCCTTACATTACCTAAGTCGCCCCTGCTAATCGGTATCGACTTGGGATGGTAAGTAGGCTTGCACGTACAGTGGTAGAATAACAACTGTGCACGAGCGCGGAGAGGAAAATACGTATTTGAACCCCAATTTGGTTCACTGTAAACGATCGTGGTGTGTATTTGATAGATTTGTGTTTGTTCAACACAGATAATTACTAGCGGTGGAGTAACGTACAAGAACGAACCATGGCACAGGGAATGCTTCACGTGCAGCCATTGCAACACTTCGTTGGCCGGGCAGCGTTTTACGTCCAGGGACGAGAAGCCATACTGCGGCGATTGTTTCGGAGAACTGTTCGCTAAGAGATGTACTTCATGCGTCAAACCAATCACGGGTAAGTGCGTACGGTCGGACGTCTGATTTCTCCGATGACGTTCGCGGCAGGATCAGGAACGGTTTACCGGTAGAAAAGATAAACCGCCAACCGCTGCGAGCATCGGCCCCAATGAAGTTCCTTGTATTCATACCGCGCGTTCATATGTCGATGCAACCAACAATTTTTTTATTTTCTGGGGACCAGGACCTTTTGAATACCCGTTACGTTTTATCTTCGCCGTCGACGATAGTTATATTCCAATCCGATTCCCGATCGTGTATGAACCTTACCACGATATAGTTGTTTCATCCGCTATTAGGTAGGATCGACCAAAGGTCTGATGTTCGGATCGACTGTAATTTGAATATTTTGCGGATCACGTCCGTTTTTCGTCCAAGCGACCGTAGCTAATGATAAAAATATATATTTGAAAATGCAATAACGTTCAACGTTTTCGATAGCAAACAAAAAATTAAAAATCAATCGCTAAAATATGACAGTTGCGATCCGATCGATGCTTGAAGCGAACTCATATCGGATCAAATGAGAAAAAAACATGTATGTTCATTGACTGGTGTTGGAGTTGAGAATTTGGAACACATGTACTACCGATGGTCTACTACTCGCATAAAAGGCCGCGGCCGCGTGACACGGACAAATCGCCTTTACGACATGTTCGTGAGCAACCGTAGCGGACGGGGGAGGGGATAATATCGTACCCGTTCATCCCATTTAGCCGCTTAAAATCGTAGGCCGTTACAACCAAATATTGCGCCCGGGGCGAAACTTCAAATTGCGTTCATAAATATTTTAATTTATAAAAAAACTCACAAAAAAATAATGCACTCATGCGTTGTTTTCTCGTTCCGCAGGAATCGGCGGCACCAGATTCATCTCGTTCGAGGATCGCCACTGGCACAACGATTGTTTCATTTGCGCCTCGTGCAAGACTTCGTTGGTGGGCAGAGGCTTCATCACCGACGCCGAAGACATCATTTGCCCGGAATGCGCCAAGCAGAAGCTCATGTAATCGCGCTCGCACATGACAATGCCGACAGACAATCAACGCAATAACACCCGTAGTCGCCCTTATCGTTAAAAATTGTTTAATAATAATAATATTACTATTACCATCGCCGTGGTCTCGTCATCATAACAAATTCAATTACGATACATACGATATACACCATATACGATGAATATAACTTGATAATTATCGTCTAAAATCGCTACGCACATATCCATATATTGTATTGAATAAATAAAATAAAAAAAAAAAACAATATAAATAAAAAAAAATACCATAAAAATAAAACTTAACCACCACCCCCCAGCCGAAACGACTAGTTCGCTTATAAGTGATCGATTGGTCGTTACGGTCTGCGGCTTTGTTTCGCCGTCATTAATATAATAGCTTCGGCGTATCCATCAGTAAAACACGTTATTTATATATATTAATTTATTAATTTATTTATTCGTTTGTTTTTCCTACCGCGAAAAGCATCAAGTACCACTTTGTGCCTTAAAATCCGTAAACATATTGTCATATAGAATTTATTAGATATTTAGGTGTTGAAATTAATGTAAAATAATTTTTAAACGTATAGATATTTATTATTATTATTACGCGATATTATATATGAAACTAACAAAACAACTATTACGTAGATCAGACGATACTAAATAATTTGAATGTTACAAAAATTATGTATTTCACTAACTCCACATTTTAATACTATAACAATAATATTATTACACACTACCTACCTATACTATATTATATTAATTTGTAATAATTTATAGTGTAATTAAAATTTAGTTTTACCAGATATTAAGTTACACATTATAACCACCACCTTCGTTAATCTATTATTCAAAAGTAATATTTTTATTATTTTTTTTCATTCTCGTTTTTTTCTTTTTATAATTATTTTATTATTATTATTATTATTATTATTAATATTATTATTATTATTAATATTATTATTATTATTATTATTATTATTATTATTATTATTATTATTA